ATATAGTATTTTCAAGTTTGCAAAGGACTTTATAGGAATTTTCTCATTTGAGCCTTACAGTCCTGTGAGGTAAGTTGGTTGGTTGTTGTCCTTCATTCTCAAACAGGACAAAATGACATCACTATGCTAGAGTCAAGTTACAGTGTGTCCAATTATGGCTGATCAGACAAATCTGACCTTGGAATGCTCTACCACAGGTTGGGCTATGTCTGGTAGTCCATGCTTACTCTAGCATTAAAAGTCACCCAGAATTATAAGCTTGTTTATTTTGGCACATTGTTGATGAGGGTCTTCAGGTCTTCATAAAATTTTTCTTTGACCTCATCAGGGTTTGTCATGACAGGAGCATAGGTATTGATGATGTGGCATGGCACTTTCCTGCAAGTGGCGATTACACTGTCAGGAGTTTGTCCTTCACTCCTTTTGGGAGGCATTCAAGCTTGTTGACTAGATTAGCTTTGATTGATAGTTGACTAGATTAGTTTGATTAGGTTTTCTATGCCAGTTTTATGGCACTCCCCTTCCCTGAGGCCACTCTAGAAAAATGTGTATCCAGCTCCTACTTCAGTAAGCTGGCCTTCATTTGCCTGCCTTGTTTCACTCAGGGTTGCTATTTGGATGTGGTACCATTGAGTTCTTTCACAACAAGAGCTGTTCATCTTTCAGGTCTACTGGTTTTTATGTTGTCCATAAGTGTGCATACATTCCATGTACCAATGGTGAGTGGAATCATCTTTGCAGAAATTTTTGTACTTTTTTTGTGTTTTGACCACAGGGTGGGATCCCTGCCTGCCAAAGTAAACAGGCCAGGATTGGGCAAATAGACAATTTTTAGGCACCTTTTGTAGTCCCTTCTTCACACCAGGAGGTGAATGGTGTGGTCCTTACAAGGCTGCTCAGACACCCAGAGGGCTGCTGAATCCCACTGCTGCTTCCAGTGAGAAGATGACCCCCATGGTCTAGGCCACTTGTGTGCAGGGTTGTGATTATAGCTCCTAGTATATCCTTACCTGCTGCTTTGTCACATACCTGTCACTACAGAACTTCAAGATAGGTAAAAATGGTAAAATAGTAAAATGGTATGGGTGATGTCCAATGGTATGACAGAATCAAGATGACTAGTGATAGCTTGAGGTGCAGTGGATGATCTTGGTGTCTTCAGTGACTCAAAGTGCTCCTAAGTGCCTGCTTCAGCTGCCTTCATGGCCATTGGAACAAATTGTTCTCACCTGCCCATTCCACCAGGGGAAGTCTTCCCATGCTTGGGGTAGACACCTCCCCCTAACTCACTGATGGATTTGAGACTCCTTGGTTACCCTCAACCTGGTTTAGCCCATCTGCCAAAATGGTTTACTGGGGTATGACTGTTGTACTATATACTATAGCTTCTTGGAGCCACAGGTGAGAGTTAGGTGAATCAAGTAGACATCAAAGGTGGAAAGAAGAGGAAATGGTGGTTCTTATTTGAACTTGACAAAAACAGGTTGAACACATACTGATTTTGGTGTATAAATACATTAAATTTAATAGGGGAAAAGGGAGGGAGCAAAGAGAAAGGAGAATGGATGCCTAAGAAGGAGGATAGAGCTGGGGAGGGTATAGTCATAAATAAACACTTCAATTTCAGAGGGTGTGTCAGATTGTTGATCCCATTCCTTTTCTTTCCCACTCCCTACTTCTTTTTAAAGGAGGAATGTGGACAAAAAGAAGAAAAATTATAAGGGGATATGATGGAGCAAAAAAACAAAATTAAAAATCACAACTAAGAGTGTGAATGGGATGAACTCATCCATAAAATGGAGGAGAGTAGCACAATGGATTAGAAAGCAGAATCTAACAATTTGTTGTTTAAAAGAAAGACATCAATATTAAGAGAACTAAAATAAGGGACTGAGCAGAATTTATTATGCCTCAGAGGAATTGAAAATTAAGATTGGCAAAAATAATCACAGACAAGGCAACATTGGGGACATTGGTAAAGAACTGGCATCTGAGTTGGATATTGAAGTAAGAGAAGCATTTCAACAGGGAATCTATTTTAAATGTGAGATATGTCCTATATGTATGCATAAAGACAGACGAGGATAAAATTGGGAAATAGGTAGTAGTCTACTTTGATTAGAACATAGAATGTAAAAGGGGGAGTAGTAGTGTGAAAAATGGCTGAAATATGGTGAGTTGGAGCCAGATTATTTAGTGCCTCAAATACCTGATTGAGAAGTTTGTATTTTACCCTACAGGTAATGAGGAACCTCTTTAGTTTTTTCATCAAGGATATGACATATGCACCAGTGCAAAAGGAAGATTATTTTGGAGAAACTGGAATCAAGAAAATCTATTAAAATATTGTAATTGTCTAGGCAGGAGATCTCAAGGCTCTGACCTAGGATGATGGCAGAGTTAGAAAGGGACAGATAAGAGAGATGCTAGTGAACTAGAATGAAGATAATTTAATAACCAATTGGATGTGGGAATGTATTTATTTTCTTTATGTTTATCCTGCATATACTTAATTGTTTTGTCTCCCACATTAGAAAGAAAGTAGCAATTGTTTTGTTCTTTGTTTGGGTTCTAGCACCTAGCAAAGTGCCTGGCACATAAGAAGTACTGAATAAAAGCTTGTGTATTGATTGATTGGGGCATATTCCTCCCCAATTTCCTCCATCATTCTTCATTTCCCACAAGAAGTTTTGGTTCTGAAATTACACACAGTTGGATTCATCCTGGTCGTTTTCTCTCCCTGGATCACTGCCCTTACCTGGAAGTAACATTCCAGACAAATATCTTCAACAAAGCTTAGGGTCATGTTCATGTTTAAGATCTCCCCAGAATGTAGATAATAGGATCTCTTCTAAAAAGATACTCTGTATATAAATATGGATAATAGGTATAGAACAGTAGCTTTTGAGCTCTGCCACCTTTTTTTGAGGAAAAGCCCTGGACACAGAAGACTCACAGGTGCACATTTACAAATAGAGAAAACCGAAAACACTTCAAATAGTCCATTATACTCATTGTATCCAAGGAAGGTAAAGATACTTAGTGTGACTGCTAAGTTGAAAAATTAACATTCACCTCACACATCTGCTATTTGAGCAATCCACAAAGTCCAGATCTCTGGCTAGCCAGGCTATTTTTATTATAGACTACTGAGGGGGAGAGGTTCCTCCATAAGGGTTTGTTGTCTATGATGCTCAGTGGACAATGATCTTTGATGCAAAATCCAAGGCACAGGGACTCACAAGGACCAATTAGTAAAGCACATGTGTTATTCCATCAAAGCACATATCCTTTATCAATGAGCCAGAAATCACTTCCTGCACTATGGAAGGTGCCCCTTTTGTGATAAATGTCCAAGTCCTATTATAAATTTCATCAATCAGGGTACTGAACTGATTAGGAATTCCACTAATAGGCTTTCCCTCTTTCTCAAGATTGATTAATACAACCCTACAGTGCTGTCCTGGTACCATAAATTCTTTTCTAAGTCAAGTATAACACTAGATGGGTAAGACATATGAATACAAGATAAAACAACTTAAAAGGTGCAGCTTGAAAGGTGCAGGTTTCTATTGATTCTGCTCTTGGCAAGGGGAGGAGAATAGCCAGAGAAGAAGAGGGAGAGGGAGAGAGAGAGAGAGAGAGAGAGAGAGAGAGAGAGAGAGAGAGAGAGAGAGAGAGAGAGAGAGAGAGAGAGAGAGAGAGAGAGAGAGAGAGCAGTCCTAAATTAAGAAAAGTTACTCTCTGAGCTGTCCTCTGTATACTCATGTCTTGAACATATGGATACAAGGAGATACACATCTGGGTCAACCACAGAAGCTTATGAGAAGTAAAACTAGTTATGTTATACAATTTACAGCAGAAAAAAGGAACACATTTAGAAATAGGTACCAGTTGTGTCTAGCTCCAATGAAATGGCCACTCACTTCTCTCCCTTTTCTCCTTCTCAGCCAGCAAGATGAAGCAAAGTTACTAACTATAGGGTGCTGAAATTAGTCATTCATAGCTTTAATGTTTTTCTATAATTTTATTTGCTTGAAGTTCTGCCTCTATTTTTGAATGTCACGGGCCCCTTCCTATTGATGTTTTCTTTACCAGAAATTACTGGAATTGTGCTGTGCCAAATAACCAAATTTTGTCCTTTTGTATATTCATCCTGGGCAGAGTGGATAGAGTGCTGGGCCTGGAGTCTGGAATTCTCACTTTTCTGAGTTGAAATCTGGCCTCAGAGACTTACTAACTTTGTGACCCTGGGCAAGTAACCCTGTTTGCCTCAGCGTCCTCATCTGTAAAATGAGCTGGAGAAGGAAATGTCAAACCAAATGCTCATTTTGGCTTAACTGCCAGGAAGGTAGAGTGAACATGATTTCTTCATACTCCTACAACAGGAGAAAACTCTGGCTGACTTTTCATCTTGACTCCTGGAACTGAATAGTCCCTGCTTTCCGCCAACAGCATCATTTGGAAGCAAAAGCCCTGGAGAAAGAGCCCGGAGACTCAAATTCTAGACCTAGGTTTATCATTAGGTTGCAGTACAACCCTAGGCAAATTATTTCCTTTCCGTGTCTCAGTTTTATCATGTGTCAAGTGATAAGTGGATTGGACGGGGTGGTTTTCAGACCCCTTCTGCCTCTGGCATCCTATGATTCTTCTAGATGGGAAGCAAAACGAAGAAAAAGGAGTTACTCTGGCCCATCACTGCCGCCCCACCACCAACAGAAACGATAACAGCGCTCAGCTCTCTGGGTGGCATGGGGGGGAATATTTTTTAAAAAAATGCTAAGCTGCCGAAGAGAGAAGGTACTGTTTTCAGGAACAAATTAGGAATGATGTAGGGAGAGGAGATGGCACAAAAATAAATTTGAGTGAGGGGCTGACACTTCCTACAAACAACTGCATCTCGGCTGACAACCCGGGTGATTCACGCTCACACCAGACCCCGCCCACGCTACTCGGCCCTCTTTTGTCTCTTTGTGCTTTCCGTAGCGGAACTGAGGTCGGCGTCTGAATTCGGAAGTGAATGCTTTGGGAAGTCTCAGTACCTGGCACCACGAGCGCAAGTTGGAGAGGACCGGCGAGGGACCGTATCGGCTCATCTGTCTTTCAGATTTACGGTGTGCTGGCCAGTGGAGACGGGCAGAGGGACCAAGATGAGAGACAGATTTGGGGAGGAGGAGTAGGGGGGAGCAGATGCTGCTGTCTGTTTTGAAAGGATTGGGCTGGGGCGGGGCTGGTCCTCGGGCAGTGTCTGGAGAATCAGCGGTAGTAATGCCTCATCTCTTGTCTCCTCCCTCCCCCATGTCCAGGCAGGGATGCTGCCTGTGGCATCTTTGGGGTCATGGTGGTGTGTCTGGGGGGCGGGGGGAAAGGGTGTGGCAGGATGGTGTGCAGAACTGTTCCTGGAATTGACTCACAAGTGCGTGTGGTCATTTCTTTATTTCTTTTTTCTTTTCTTTTCTTTTTGAATTCCAGTGTGCTGACAGCTTTCCCAGATTTTTTTTTTATCCACCTCCCCACCACCTTAGTTAGCCCTAATGCCTTTAAATGAGTTGAATGAAGATGGTACCGAGCAAGAAGAAGGGGTAAACACGGAATCTGATGTGATTGCCATTACCAATGTTCTGGAGACGTTCAGTGAGAGCCAGGAGACAAAAGGGCTAATCGATAACCTGAAGTATGTGTATGGCGATTTGGTAACTCGTGAGGTTACAATCGAAAAGTTCATAGGTAAGTGTCCTTTGATAACTCAGTTAAATTTCCATTTTGTGATGACTTTTATGATCCTTTTATAGGGAGGCAACGATAACAGAACGGATAACCACGATTTGAAAATAGTTTTTGTGGTAGTTGTTAGGATGCTTTTATGGAGGTAACTTGGTATAGTGGTACAGTGCAGGATTTGGAGTTAAAAGACTTGGGTTCACTACCTATATAACCTTAGAAAAATCACTTAATCTCTCTGGGCCACATTTCTTCCTCCTTTGTAAAATGAAGAGTTGATCTCTAGGTGCCCTTCCACTTCTAAATTTACAATTCTTTGAGTTTATGATGGAGGTAGCTTTGATAATCCCATTTGCTGCCATTTGATCTGAAGTTGTCTAAGGAATTTGGGGACACAGTAGGAGAAAGTCAGATCCTATTTTGCTTTTAAGACTTGTACCTTCAGTGACATGTAATAGAGAGAGGAAGAGAATAAATGCTAACTTTCTGGAGAACTAGAATTTAAATGGGCATAATAGAAATTGGATAGTGGAGATGGTAAGCAGTGTACCTAATTATGGGGTATACAAATCACACATGAAAATTGATCTTATTACTTTATAGCCGTATTCTTTGTGTAGTATCTTATATTATTCTAATTAGAATCGTAAATATTTGCGATAGAAGGAATCTTAGACATTATGTGGACCAATTCCTTCGTTTTATATATGAGGAAACCAAGGGCTAAAGAACTGAAATGACTTGTCCAATATCTCGTAGTAAGTGGCAGAGTGGAGATTTGAACCTACACCTAAAAATCTTTACCCTGAAGCTGAAATGCACTTTGCAGCTAACTGGCTAAGACAAAGTGGGGAGGGACATGCCCAGGGAAAGGACTAGCATTTTGTTTATTTTTCTATTCACTTTGACTCAGTAAAATGTTTATTAAGTGTTTATTTACATTACATTTACATACTTATATTTATTAAGGTGGACCATCTTGCTAGGTGCAGGAAATACAAAGAAAAATGAAATAGTTCTTAAAAGGAGCTTTTTTTGTTGGAAGGCTGCAACTCTAACTCAAAGAAGCATAAGGTATTTTCAGAAGGGAACATATATTAACAATTGGGGAGCTCCAGAGAAGCTTCATGGAGGAAATGGCACCTGAGCCTTGGAGGAAGATTAGTATTCTGAGAGTGGGCAGAGGGAGCATCTCAGGCCTAATGGAAATTCTTGAGCAAAAGGATGAAGTTGGCAGGCAGGAGATGGAATGTCAAATTTGAGGAATCCCTAGAATTTCCCTTTGGCTGGAACATTAGAATGTGTGACAGGGAGGAATGTGAACTAAGGCTGGACAGGTAGGTTACACTGTTTATGGAAGACCTTACAAACTCCTAAACATTCATTTTTATATTAGATGAAGCCATTAAATGTTTTTGAGCTGGTGGCACTGTACCTTCCGACCTACTGTTGTAGTGGTATAGAGTAGTATTCTTAAAATCAAATAGAAACAGATCACAGCTGGTTGCATGTTGACATATAAAGCCATTAATTAATGTTGTTTATATTGTATTGTATTTTTTATTTATTATATTAAACCCGAGGTTCCCAAATTTATTTGGCCTACCACCCCCTTTTCAAAAAAAGAAAATTATTCCATGACCCCCTGGAAATCTATTTTCTTTAACCCTTTAACATTTAAAAAAATTTACATCATTTCAAAAAAATATAAAGTATTTTTAAAAAAAAAATGACACATCTTAAATTTAATAACTTATTGTAAATTTGTGGTTTTTTCCTGTATTGAAATTTTGATGACACAATGTCATGTTTTGTAACCATATTGTATTGTATTGTAAACAAGTCATTACATGCACACATTCCTGCCAATGCATGCTGGACTTCCCGACAATGCAGTTGGGACACACTTGCCTACCAACCCTTGCTTCTTAAGACCTGTTGGCAGACTTGACCACTCATGGGTTCTAACTCACATTTTGTGCGTTTATTTGGAAAATAATGTAATCACTATGACTTTAACTCTGTTACACAACAGATGAAACATATATGAATGGTTTTTGAAAATATTTTTTTTCTTTCCTTATGTTTCCACTGCCCCTTTATTTTTATTTAGTGCCCCCCAGTTGTATGGACACTACTTCTCCCCACTCCAGTCATTCCAGTGCCCTCCAGGGGGCCCACTTTGAGAACAGCTGTGTTAATCCTTTCCCAATTACGTTTTAATTTGGTTCTGCTTTAGAGGAGCGGTATTTGACGCCTCTGGTGTGGAGGATTGATTCTTTGTAGGAAGGAAGAGACTGGATGCTGAGAGTTAAGAGGCTATTAGCATACTCTAGATAATGTAAGTGAAGAGAAATGGGATGGATAGAAGAAATGATATAAAAGTCGAACTGATAGAACTTGGCATATAACTGGCAAGAGAAAGAGAGGGATGAATCAAATTGGAGAAAAGATATAGGGAGGTTTGGAGGTGAGGTGGGTTTAAGGAGAAGGATTAGGGGCCGTGTTTGGGAAATGTTGAATTTGAGATATTGATTCAATGTTTGGTGGAGATGTCTAAGAACTAGTTGGAAGTATGGTGAGAGTTTAGGACTAGATGTATAGTTTTTTTTTTTAGGCAGTTGGGCAGTTGCCCAGGGTCACACAGTGAGTAGGTGTCACGTGTTTGGTCTGAGACCGGATTTGAACTCAGGTCCTCCTGACTTCAGGGCTGGTGCTCTATCCACTGGGCCGCCTAGCTGCCCCTAGATGTATAGTTTTGAGAGTGATGAACTGTGTAGAGATGAGAATTGAACTCACAGAATCAGTTTAGAGCACCAACAGAGAGAAAGAGAGAATGAAAAAGAGAAGTTTCAGAGAGAGGTGGAGAGGGATGACTGTCCAAAAACAAGACTGACAATTGATCTGATTGGGTGAAGAATTAGGAGAGTGCATTGTCATTGAAGTCAAGGGAAGATAGAGAAAATAGGAGAGAGTGAGGAATCCTTTTTGTGAAAAGCATCAGAGGAGGAGGAGGAAAAGGCTATTTCATTTAGCTACTGAAAACACTGGTAATCTTTGAAGGAGCAATTTCAGGTGAGTGGAGAGGGTTGGAAGCCAGATTACAAGTAGTTGAGAAGTGGATCAGCATATGGGTGACTCTTTCTAAGATGTTAACTGTGAAAAGGAGGAGAGATACAGGACTGTGGCTTCAGAGGTAGTAGGGTCAGTTGTAGGTTTTATAAGGGAAAGGGAGGGGAGAAAGCTGGGTATGTATAGGTAACACGGAAGGAACCAGTAGATAAGAGGGAGATTAAAAGTTATAGATGTGGAGAGAATGATGGAAGGGGAAAACCTCCATACAATTCTCTTATACTTTTTCTTCTTTACAGAGAAGAGGATTATGGGAGAGGAATGTAGTCAGCACAGGTACTCTATGCTTGAGGCAGTCACCTTGGCCCTCTTGCTACCTCTTATCCAGAGCCTGGTCACAGATCCATCCATTCATCCTTCCTTCATTCCTTCCTTCCTTCTTTCCTTCCTTCCTTCCTTCCTTCCTTCCTTCCTTCCTTCCTTCCTTCCTTCCTTCCTTCCTTCCTTCCTTCCTTCCTTCCTTCCTTCCTTCCTTCCTCTCTCCTTCCCTCCTTCTTCCCTTCTTTCTTTTCTTCTTTCCTTCTGTCTTTTCTTCTTTCCTTCTTTAAGAATTTGTTTTGCTCTAGCTGTGTGACCCTGGGCAAGTCACTTAACCCTGATTGCCTCACACACACACACAAAAGCAAAGAATTTGTTTTGCTTATGACTAATTCCTCACTGAATCTTTCTTCCCTCTTATTCCCACTTCTTCCAGTTCCCTATTTGTTTGTATTTTCCTGTTGAGTTGAATTTATTTCTGCATCGGGGTGTGTGAGTGTGTGTTTTCAAACCCTCCTTTGGCTACTTCAGATGAAAGTAAGGTTCTGGTGATTACTTTTCTTTCCCAGCCCTTTCCCTTTGTGTAGACTCTACTTGCCAAACCCATTTAAGTGAGATAAATGAGATCACTTTTTCTTTCCTAGTATATCCCTTTTCCCTTGCTTTACTTCCTTTTTTAAAGATTATTAGAACAAGAAAACCATTGCCAGGCCTTCTGTCTTATATGACTTCTTTCTTATCCATCCTTACGTTAAGATTCTTTTTGGCTAGGCAACGGGGTTAAGTAACTTGCCCAGAGTCACACAGCTAGTAAGTGTCAAATGTCTGAGGTCACATTTGAACTCAGGTCCTCCTGACTTCAGGGCCAGTGCTCTATCCACTGTGCTACCTAGCTGCCCCTTTATATTACGATTCTTAAAGGGGCATATGTATACATTAGACTCTAAACACTTCATTCTTATAAAGTCCCTTTGGATTTACCTTTTTATGTTTCCTTGAATCCTATGCTTATACTTAAAAGTTTCTATGTAGCTCTAGTCTTTTCATCAGGAATTCTTGGAAGTCCTCTATTTCATTAAAGATCCATTTTCCCTTTGTAGGGTTATATTTAATTTTTCTGGGTAAATTATTCTTACTTGTATTTCTATATTTTTGTCTCCTGAAATATTGTATTCCATAATCTTTCTTCCTTTATCATTGTACTTGTTAAATCTTATACAATCCTGACTGTGGTTTATTGATGTGTTAAATATCATACAATCCTGACTAGGTTTATTGGTTCTTCAACTCTTTCTTTCTGGGTGTTTGAGGTATTTTTTTCTTTCATTTGGAAACTCTGGGTTTTGACTCTGTTCACATCTGGAGGGACTGTTATGTCATTATATAAATTCCTGGCCTATCTTATCTGGGGTCCTGCTGTTATGTTCTTCAGGTTATGAGTGCTGTGTTCTTCAGGTTTAACATTGATGGCTTGGGCTAGGTAACTGCAAACTTTCACCAGGCCCTTTGTGGTCTAAATTTTGGCCTCCTGGACTTTTGAGATTCTGGACTCTGGTTTAGACCTAGGCAACAAAACTTCATACTTACCTCTGAGTGGAGCTCCAGCTGACAGTTAC